TGTGTTTGGTGGCGTGATCATTATTATTTAGAGTCATTGCGTGCCTATTGAGTTTCACACGATCCATGTATCCATAATTTCCTTTTTTTCTCTAAAGAAGAGGGACTAATGAGAAACTTTGTCATTTTGTCCGTTGTTCAGCATCGAAACATTCATTCGCTAAAAATTACATGATTGTTCCATTATTATAAAGGGAGGTCAGTTACTCTTTAAAACAGTTGGTAGTTATGGGTACTTTTTACTTAAGTACATTTCGAAGCCCATACTTCTTTACTTTTACTTGAGTAAAGAATTTTACTGAGTACTTCTACTTTTACCAGAGTATTTTTAAACACGAGTTCCTGTATTTCTACTTGAGTAAAGGATGTGTGTACTTTTGCCATCCCTTCCTATTTATTGTTTGTAATGGGAGTCAAGAAAAACTTTATGTGGCTTTTGTCTAGCTAAGGTCCAACCAGCACAGCAGCTAAAGGAACTACAAAATGTGTGCGAATGCTGTAAAATGCGTATGTGTGTGTGTGTGTATGTGTGTCCACGTCTGACTGTGTTTGTGTGTGCGTGTACCAGTCTGTCTGTCTGTGTACCGTGTCTGCTCTGATTAGATTATATCACTCAGGTGTGTGGCCCCAATCTGCCCAGCAACACCATGATTACCAACTGCAGCACTTAGTCCCATTATGAATACCAGAAAGTGAGCATCAGGGAACCCCAATGAATGTGAGTAAAATGTGAAGATGGGAGCAGTTTGTCTAAAGTTTACTTCTCTCTGTTCTGAAGAAAGTTCCGGACACATTTAACATGGGAGTCGATTGGAAGCTAGGTGGACTTTTTGTCACTCGGATAACTATTGGACCAGAACGGTGGGTCCGTTTGATATGATGAAGGCAATTGAGCAGGCCAGACTAATTATGCTCCTGAAATCTTTTGAAATTATTAGAGTGTATATTTTGGCTCTGAGAGCAGTTTTAAAATATGTTTTCCGAAGATTTTTAAGACCCTCTACACTCTAAGTGATGATGTCACGCACTTTAGCCCTGAAGAGTCCCTCCCATAGACAACCATTATAAGATCTAAAACGGCCTGAAAATGTACCAAAACTTAAACGTTGATAAGTCAAAAACCTTAAAAGATATCAAAAATCAGAAAAATAAGTTTTATATAGCTGAAGGTCTTGTGATCAGTTGGAATGAAGTCTCTAGCTGAAAGTATGTGGAAGAGTAGCATTTGGCGCAAGGTGTAGGTAAAAGAGGATTTGAAGGTTCCTCCGATTGAGTTCCATGTTAAAAAAAGAGTTTAAAAAGCTGAATATTTCAAAAAGTATAAAATATTTGGAAAAAGTTTAAAGTTTCCCATCATGTGCTGAAAAAGCTGAACAGTTTTATATGTGAATGGCTTCTGTAGCTAAAAGTATGCTGAAGTTATTGAGCGCCTTGGTGAAATATTAATAATAATAATAATAATAATAAGAAGAAGAAGATGATTAAAGAATTTAAGAACTATAGTGGAATGCTGTAAACAGCAGTCGCAATAATAAAGAGCAGAATAACTTTAGTTAGTAAATAACAGCTGAGGTACCTGGGATGAGCTGGAGGGCGCCGTTCTCCTGCAGTGAGTCATCTAAAGCCAGCCACACAGAGAGGACCGGGCCGCCAGCAATACCCCAATACCTGAAGACAAAATATCAACTGTGAGAAGAAACGAAGCAGAACAAAACCGCTCAGTGTTTTTTTCTGTAGTTTGTGAATATCCACCTCATGTCCTGATGCCAGGCCACATATGGAAGTTCATCGTTTCCTCCTCCTTCATTCTCCTGGGTGTCAGGTTTGAGTGTCGGGTATTTGCAGATGAAGCGGGAGTCCAGCAGGATGACGTCAGGGCCCAGGATGGCTTTGACCACTTGTATGATTTGAGGGTGTTGGGTCAGGTCCCTCACCCAGGGATACTGAAGGTGAACATTGTGGAGGCTGTACTGAGTGTACTCTTCACCTGGAAACACAAACGTATACTCAATCATTGATAACAAGTGCAAAACTACCTATAATCCTATTTCATACATTTTGGGGATTTCTTTAGTGTGAATATTTGAACGTCCCCCTGAGTATATTCGGAATTCTCCGAGCCTAACTTCACTTTACTAACACTACTTTTCCAATTTTATATTTATGTTTATTGAAAATCTACTTGCAATAAACAAGATTCTGATTCAGAAAAAAACTACAGAGAAATCAGACCCACTTACAATACTAGCCTACATTTCAACATTTGGTTCATTACTAGATTTTTACTTATTTCTGTATTACTTTTAATGCTTTTTCTTCCCTTCCCTCCTTCACCTTCCAGTGCTACTTACCAAATTCCTCCTCCAGCTCAGAAAAGGCGCGCTTGGCCTCCCTCAGCTGAGTCTCATTCAGCACAGGCAGCGCGGAGAGGAAGCCCTTCTGGTTGTAGACCTCCTGCAGTTTATTCCTGGATGAAGTCATCTCTAGTGGACAGTTTTCCTGCTGATGCCTCCTGCTTGCAATATTTATAAAGCAGGGATTGTTTGTGGTGGAGTAGCTGAAGATAGAAAAGTGTAAATACTGTTAGTACTCTGTCAAACATTGTGTTTTCCATCTTGTTTGAAATTAAGCTACTGTAATGCAGACATAAATAGAAAGACGACCCTGCCCAGCGAAGGAAAAACATTTAACTACATTTCATTTGGTCACACTGAGCACCACCTTGTTCTGAAACCAAAATTACCTCGCTGACTGCACAGTCCAAAGGCAGTGCTGAATTAAATTATTTTGCCTCTCTGCAAAGGTACTCTATCTCTCAAAACAATTAAACTTTTGCTCTAAGTGTTGTACTGTACTGTCTGCTGTTCAGTCTCCTCTCTCTGACTCTGAGTACTGCCAGGTTCTACTGTGGCATTAAATACTGCACAGTACGCCTATCTGGAAACTCCTCTTCACATGTCAACATAGCAACATTTATAAAATATCATCACATGTGATTTGACATCGGAAGAAAAACTTAATTAAAGGGAAACTCCTTAAACACACCCCTTGTTAATTTTGAAGTAAAATAAAACCTTTTCTTACCAGGAACTACATGTTGGGCTTTTGAAGTCCTTTAAATGGATGAAAACACATTTCATCTGGAAATAATTTCTCAGTAATCTTTAGAACCAAAGGCTATTTTTTGGAGCTGTATTTTACTTTGAAGTTGTTCCAGACTTTAATGACTGATATCAGGAACTCATTACATTTCCAGTCATCGCCCCCTTATTTCCAACTTTTCTCTTCCTTGTCAGAAGTTAGGGAATGGTTACTGCTCACAGTACAAAGGCACATTGCATTTTCAGTGTATTATTTAATGAGTGTGTGGGAAGGGGAAATCCTTTCTTTTCACATTAGTGAACAACATTTTAGCCAGCATCGTTTTTGTATTTGTGATAATTATTATTCTTACAATTGTTATGGATACACTTTATTCATAGTTTTATTTCAGTTTTTCCCTTATTTCATCTTTTTTATTTACCATTTATATGTATTGCTTCATATCAGTAGACTTAGGTTTGTCTCATTCGGCATCAAACTGTTTTTGTTCACAAAAAAGGATGAGAAGGGGGAATTTAGCATTTAATTTGGTGAAAAAGCGAGGCCCTCCACTGCATTTTTAACTGTTTTCTTCTTCATAACCTATCCCTAAAAAATTGCAAAAACCTCAACATCATATTATGGAAAGCACAAGAAAAACACAGCCACTCTCTAAATTAAGTGAGACGAGCCCCAGGCCTAAACGCTATTGAAGAGTTAAGAAAATAAATGACTTTTACCTGTCTGTCTTTCCCTCTTATTGTTTTAATACAGTCCCTTATTTGTTCACTAGGCAATCATATTTGGATATTTAAAATAGGGAAGGAGGAAGAAAGAGGAAATCGATGTCGATTTTGTTTCTTAAAAACGATGTGGGAGATCAATGTTTAAGGACACAGATTGTTGTCTGTGTGGTCAAGAAACAGCAGCATCATCACATCCCTCACAGTGAGTCATAATTTGTCCTTGTGGGTTTTTTTCAGTCTCCAAGCAGCTGATGCATGATGTCATTGACTTTTGAAGTGTGTACGGTATATGTTTGTGTGTGAGTATTTTATCACTCATTACTTCAATGTCTAAATAACCTCTTAATAGATTACTTGTTATAAACTGTTCCGCAAAACTAACTTCATGTTTAGGGCCGTGATACAGAAAACATGTTGAGGAATGTTTCAGTCTCTCAGAGGAGAATGACAAGGCTGCTGAGTAAATAATACACAGAGGAAAAACCCTCGGTGTGACGATATGTGTCAGTATTTTCAGTTCAGTAGAGGACCGGTGACCATGCAGCAGTAAAGCGCTCAGCTTCCTTCAGAGTCAGGAGAAACATTAACTCAGCAGCACACTCCAGAGGCAGGGATCCTCAGCATCTTTTCGGGGGGCGTCCCAACACTGAGCAGCTTACTGGTCTGACATTCCAGTGTCATTGACTTTTATTGTGTCTTTGTGGCTGCATTTATGAGCATAGACACTTCAGGGGAAACCATTTTACAGACTCAAAAGTGATGCAGCATATAAAGAAGAGACAATGTAACCTTTAGACGTAAGCTGGGTAACTGTTATTACGCTGAGACGTTTTAAATAAGTAACAAACTACCAGCACCCTTATATCAAGTATATCTTTTTTTATTATTTTGGGAAATTATATTTTTTAATGGCTTTAAAATGTGTCAAAATTCTGAGTAAACAAAAACATTACCTTTAGATTAACAGCTAGGGTATATTGAGATGTATCAACAAATATTTGTATTAGATATATTAATTAAATATACGTAACAAACTGAGAACTTGTTCTGATATGGTCCGTAATATACAGGAAGTCCCTGTAGAAAATAAACTTCAATCTAACTATAACCTTCTTTATTATGAGGGGTAGCAGAACAAACCCTAAAGAACAGAAATGTATCTAACCAAGGATATACTCATATTTGACTATTTTCCATAAACAACAACATGAATTTGCCTTCATTAATCAGATTGAAGTAATGTCAGTGAGGAAGGTGAAGGATAAGTGAAGATTGAGTGCTAACATTTAGCAGGGTCATTAATATATAACTTAATTTGACTGTTTTATGATGATGCCCCCCCCCCCCCACCCTGACTCCTAGTCCCTGTTGGGGTGTTTGGGGCAGAGTGGGTGGTGCTGTTTTCTCTTTTCTCCACTCTGTGTCCTCGTGTCTCCTCCTGCTGGCTGCTGCTCATTATTGCAGCGGTGGACGAGCACGGGGTCCTTGTTCGGAGGCGTTTTCTTCAGCAATAGCCGCTGCAGCATCTGTTTGTCAGACCGCTCCCGTCGGAAGTCATCCTCATAGACCTTGAGCTGGATCAATGTCAGAACCACAGACAGTGAAGTCAGGAAAACATTCTGAGGTGACAGTGAGAAACCCATCTTTTAGAGCATCAGCTAAAAGTGGATTCATCAGAATATATAACAGGTTATCTTACACCATTAGGGGAGATGTGGAGCTGTGAAAATACGAGCTGTGTTATATATCGTATGGTTATTAGAGTATGTTAAAACTGTTGTTGCACGACTAACCTAAACTTCATATGTAACCATACCTTTTACCTTACAGTTTTTCCCAATCCAACATTTGATGCGAAAAAACACCAAGTAATGTTGTTTGTTTTGGACCAAGATTATGCAACAGATAATTGTTTGTTCTTTAATAATTTAAGTGTGGATCCACATGTGTGAGTGTGCGTATGTGTATATAAGGAGACAATCACAACACTACCTGCTCCTGCAGCAGTGCCACCTGTTGGCGCGTCTCCTCCCTCTTCCTCCTCAGCCTGCGGTTCTCTTGCAGCGTGCGTTTGTGGTCATTATGCTCTGTCTGATATTCTTCTTCATAAATCTGGGTCTGTTGACACAGGACATCAATAGGGCAGTGAGCCAATATCAAAGCTTGTGATGTGCAGACGCTTCATAATACTCTGTGAGAAACAGCACACAGCCACCACTTGGTGGAGCAGTTCACCGTCTAATTCAGGTTCAAACATTAAGCAAATCTTTCCCCGGCAACAGTGGGTTGACATCAGGTTCTTCTCATCACATCAAAAAAGGGAACACATATTGAAGCTGTGCTGAAGAGAACATCCCACCTGACATTGCAGTGCCTCCAGCTGCTCTTTTAGAGCCTTCACTTCTCCCAGTGGGGTAGCACTTTTCTGGCTTTTTCCTTGCCACCCTGCCTCTGGGCTGGAAGAAGGGTGTGAAAGGGTGGATGAGGGGCTGTACCCAGAGACGTGACTGGGCGACAGTTCGGGACATCCAGGAGGATCAGTGATGGGGCCCGACAGGGGACCGTGTATCACAGCACTGAAGCTGCCCTTAAATAGACACATAAGACAAATTAATTAACTTATACTTAAGTCATGGAGCAGAGAATATCCCACTGACGGGTATAATACCTGTGGGGCAGGAGGTCTGTCTCTGTCCGGCTGGTGCATTCTGTTTTCCAACAATCTGATGTATTCATGCAGCTCCTGGTTCTTTCTCAGCTCCTGCATCAATGCCTGCTCATAGTACTCCTTTGCACTCTGCAATCCCAAGCACAGCTGTACAGCTCACACATCTATCTACCATGTATACATCCTACACCTGCATCTACATTGGGAGTGTTGATGTGTATTTACCTGCTGGTGGTCGACTTTGAGCAGCAGTCTGCCGTTGAGCTGTTTGATGGCAGTGTTCTCAAGCTCCAACGCCTCCAGTCTGCTCTGTAGACCCAGCGTGGCACTGCGGTACACCTGGTCCCAGTCCTCATTGAGCTTCATCAGCTGTAACACAGCACCATCACATAATCACTGGTGTTATGGCCTCCACTGCAGCCATGGAGAGCACGGTTCATTACAACACTACTGCAGTGTTTCTCAGACTGTCCTCGCACCAACTCGGGCCACAGGAAATGAATTTAGGTCAGTGAGGTGGGACGCTATACTTTTAGAAAATACATGTCCCTTGTTACTTTTTATCAAACAGCCTTTAATTAAATTCATAAGCAAAGGTTGTATGGTTTTAATGGTGATACTTCACAGCCTAGCAGCAGTTTTCACACAACGCCCACAGTCCTCCTCTGGTTTTCAGAGAGAACTAAATGTATTTGCCAACATCAGCAGTACAAAATGTGGACATGCAGAGACGCAGCACTGGTTTCAGGTGACGTTGTACCTCTTTGTTGACTCTGCGGAGCTCAGTGTTCTTGTTGAGCAGCTGCAGTTTCTCCTGGTCAGTGGAGGTGACGATCATGCTCTCAGTGATCAGAGTGACCTGCTCCTCAGTGGACAGCAGCCGACCTCCCACTGGACCCACATCCCCCGTCCTGCACACATATACAGATGAGATTTTCCATAAATAAAGTCATGATGAAGAACATTAGGATTTCCATTAATAAGCAAACACGTGTGCACACAAAAGAACGTCAGAGTACTTTTGAACACCCACTCGCATAAAGTGCACTTACTGAAAATCGAATCGGAGCTATTATGCACACCCACGTACACACATGCATGCAGTCACATTAGCAACTGAAGAGACTCAGACACACACACACACACACACATAGTGGTACATTTCGCTGCATACAGGGTCCTAGCCAATCATAATCTTCATTCACAATCAGTAGCGTTTGCATATGTAAAGACTTTGGAAGCAAAATGGGTGACTGTTTGCAAACATTAACTAGTTTTCTTTCCACCAGCTGTAATGTGAGGTCTTGTCTGAAAGTAATAGCTGACAGGGAGGAGGTTGAGATCTGAAGCCCGGGGGGAAATCTGCTCATGGAAGAACACACAACTCTGCATGTTGCCCCCGGGGCTTCTTCACACTGTCGTACTGTACAACTGCTCTGACCTCAGAGAGCTAACTACAAAGAATCACAAACTGCGATCACCTCTCATCCCCCTTAAGGCTAAAACTCCCTCGCAAACATGCACTTTCATCCACATATGTACAGTTTCCCGCTTTGTGAAAATATTGTTACACATTTTTAGAGAGTTGGCAGTTCACATGGAAAGATGCAGGTCTATTTATAAACAAATGAAAAATAATAAGGTAAAGAAATGATATAGTCCTTACAAGATATTGAGATTGTATAAAAACGTTGTATTGTCAGGTTTTACTGTATAATACACGTATGCCATTGATGAAAATATGAGATAAGAATAATTATTTGGCTTCTCAAGTTTACAGGCATGGTTTTAGGAAAGATTTTACTCTCTAGTTAAATGAGGGGATTATGTGCGGGACTATTTCTTAGCCTGGAGCAGCAATTTTTATAGAGTTGTCCCTTGCCTACTGGCAACAAACCATAAAATTGCGTTTGTATAATTTCACATAATTTCACAAACATGCTAAAAAGTGGTGATTAGATAGTTTTAAAAGTGCGGGTGTTTATATATTGCTACCTTTGACCTTTGGACAGAGCTAGGCTGTTTCCCCCAGATTCCAGTGTTTATGCTAAGCTAACCAGCTGGTAGCTTTAGCTTCATATTTTTATAATTATGTACACTCAATAGTGTTACCAATCTTCTACTATAACTCTTGGCAAGGGGAATATGAGTATTTCCCAAAATGTGGAACTATTTTTCTTTAAGAAAACGTAAATAAAAAAACCTGGATAACGTTAACAATGAGCTGTTATCAAGAACAAGGGGGATTTTTCTTATTTTCTAAAAAGGTGACCTTTTCAGATTTAAAAAATAATTTTCTACAAAATAAAAAATGTTGTTTGTCTAAAACCTGTATAGTCGGATCATTAGATAAAAGTAAAGTTTATCGAGAGTCCAATATTTGTACAATCGGCACTCTGTATCATCTGGGATCATGTTCAACGAAGCAGGAGACTGGAGGGGGTTACTGGTCGCTAATGAGTGAAAGAGCCAACAATTCTGCAGATTGGAAAGATGATGAAGGCATAAAAGCAGAAATTAAACAAATGACATAGGGCCGCTATGAGCACAAACTGCAAACACAGTCATGCCCAATACCCCGTCATGGTAACTCAGCACTGTGTACTCACTACTCAGCCATCCCATTGGGACCGCATCATGCTCCCTGTCTCTCTGATGCAGAGCCTTTCTCTTTCAGCCTCTCTGACAGCCCTTACACGCAGTCTGACCCAGTTTCACAAAGTTTTCAATCGTATGCCGTCTTGGAAGGACACCAAGATGCCACTGCTTCGAACAGCAATATGGTAATTCACTGTCATGGCATATGATAAAGAGATAGATATAATATATTTCCTTCTGGCTAGTGGCAACCCAGACAAATATCATTTTAAATACAGAACATCTCTGTGTCAACCGTCGATGGCCACAGTCGGATCCCTTTGCAGAGGAGAAGTGTGAAGTTTCACTATTTCAACATGGTTATTTTAAGGCAGACTTTTCGTTTGTGTGTAGGTAGTGTGGTCACGGCATTTACGAAGTGTTCCCACATTAAGAACACTGAGTATCAGTAGCTTGAATATAAAACATTGAAAAGTGATCGTAATATACAAAAGCTATTTCAGGTTTAAGGCATTATAATATATCATTCTTATCATTTTATTAGCTTTTTTTTACGACATGATGGAGTACCAGTGTTGCGAAATAATGAACTGAAGCCTTATTTATGACCTCATGGGAAACTCCAATCACTCTTTACTGAACGTCATTTAACTCTCAGAGCTTCGCTGAAAATGTGATGAGAAATATAATTGATCCATACTGTAGTTTTCAAACAGCCTCTAGATTTGAGTTAAAGACAAGGGTCAGATCATCTCTATACGATTTATTAAAATTGCCTTTATTAGTATCAGACTATAAATGAAGGAAAGCCTGTTTGTTTGTATATTTAACATGTGTTTACAGGCAGAGACTGATTATCAAACACTATGGTAAGACTTTAGGCTATAGTTTTCGAGATATATATATTTTATTTTCAATAAATAATACGAATATATGTTCCTGTTTCTGTGTCGGTCCCTGTATGTAGAAACGTTCAACATACATACCATAATTCTTCAGTTGATTTGTGATCCTGTTGGCTCTGAGGGAGGCTGCTGTAGCTTTTTGGTGAAGTTTCTTTCTGTGTCCCAGACGCTGCTGAGGAAGATAATGACGAGAAAGAAGACAACGACAGCACATCTCCATCCATGGTCAAATGTTTTCAAATCTTCATAAAGTCTGGGAGAAAATTCAAACACTCGCTTCGAACGCTAAAGTGTGTCTGCTGAGTATGTGGTGGAAAGTAAATAGTGCCGTCAGTGTTGATACATAGCGAAAGGGGAAGTAGCCGAGACAGTGAGCCACATGATGCAAAGTTAAGAGAATAGGAAGTGACACTAACAACTGTTTCAGATGCATGTTAACGTGGGCCACTCCCACTGTGTCTAATTTTTTTTAATTTAGTGCACCACACAGTGTGATCGTACATTATTCAAAAAATGATTACACAGTTGTTTTGTTTTGACATGATTTGGAGAGGAAACTCCACTCAGTGTAGTAAGTGTTGTGTGTTTACGCTTGTTCCTGGGAGACTGTTGCCTGTTAGCCGAGCTGTTGTCTTAGGTTTTTAAATGAGCATGAGGTAATAGCAGGGGAGCTGAATAGATATGCATAATTGCAGAACGTGTAATTGATAATAACGGAAGCATACATTTATTCATGACAAATAATGATAGGGTCAGGCTGATTGCATTCACCAATCTGCTCATTACTGGGATTGAGGGAAGTGGGCTGCGGCAGGTTAATTAGGAAACCACATGTTCATCCAAGGGACAATCAAGACAAGGGACAATTTGTAATTATGTTCCTCTTAGTCAAGTTAAGCTGTCTTTTATTAACACTAACTAAATTAATTTTCCAACCTCGTTTGTGATACATTCTACTCAGACGACTGTGACAAAGATATTCAAGGCCAGCAGTGGAATAGATATAGTGACTACGTAGCATAAAGAAGAGCTCCAGATCAGTGGCTTGGATGTTGTGAAGCTGAAAATTGAGCGGACCGACCAAGCAAGGAGGCAGAGGCAGAACGTCCAAAATACAACCCAGTGTGGTCATTTATTACATCATGAACACATGACACACAGCCTCAATCCTGCTGTTGCTGTGAGCACAGTCACCAGCCACAATGATCTCACACACACTCTTTCAAACAGAAAAATCCCAGAGCCTAAATGCACAACCCAATCAACCCAACAGGACACAGGTGAGGGGGGAGCAATTAGACACAGGTGGGGGGAGGAGACAACACAGGGCACCAGGTGCACACAATCAACGGCAACTGACATGGGGAAAGGGGAACACATTTCAACATAAAATACAATAAACACTACATCAATCAATAGTATAAAATTGTATACAAATGTATGCACAGTGACAAAGTTACCTTCGTCACATTTCCTTCCCCCTCTCCCCCGGAAGCACAGTATCTTAACAGTCTTGGCTCCAGGACAACCAGTCAGCCAACCGGTTTGACTTCCCTGGCCGGTACTTAACTGCAAAGTTGTACGGCTGCAAGGCACCGGACCACCGCGCGATGCGCATTGGTTGCATCTCTCTCTGGCCTTGGCCATTTTGCTTTCCTCCATGGGTCTCCACTCCGCACAGTGTTTCCTGGACTCCACCATCTAGTGAGGAAGTTACCTTCGTCACAGATGTTAATATCCTGCTCGATCTCTCATTGTTCATGTTGAGGGAACTCACTCCTGAACCTGTATCAGCATCACTATAGTGTGCCTTTTTCACAGGTAACCAAACAATATCCTGGGCTATATATGTAAAAAAATAGGCTAGTGACTTTATGAAAAAACACTTTATCAAGATACGTTGTAGGTTATAATATAAATGTATAATTAAGCTTCTGGAAGTATTGCTAGCGGTCCTTTAAAGAGGTACTTATACACAGCAGTTGTTTAAGCTACTGTATATTAAGTCATCCTGCTAACATGGTCTGAGTAACAATGTAAACCACATGAACCTCATTTAGCATTTGTTATGTATGTTCACCATCTTAGTTTTCCTTTTTAGCACAAACAGTGTAAAAGTAAAACTGGGCCTGATGTGAATGTGAATTTGCTTGGCAGACAAAAAGAGTATAGTAAAAGCCTATCTACTGTGATGTCCAGAGGGCAGAGTTGTTTTCATTTTACCATCTGATGCACCACCACACGGGAGAGGCGACGACACATGTCAGTGCTGCCCAGTAGCTCAGCCTCACTCCAGTGACTCCATTCACATGCCTATGCCATCTATCATGAACAGCAGTCAGAGTATTGCTATGCCAAGCAGAGGCTTTTCTGGGAGGCCCAGATGCAGTGCCTTTATTGACCCAAGCCTCTGTCAAAGCGAAGGACAAATGGGCTCCACTGAAGGATTGATTTTTAGTCTAACAGGAGATCGTGGAGAGGAATAGTGAGTGTCCCACGGAGTGAGGATGACTGAGAGGTGGATAGTTCTCCTGGGTTCCTCCTGAATTCTTCATCAGTAACTAAAAGGACACACTCTTGGGTTTTGAACTGGATTGGGCTCTTTAGCACTCTGCAGAGACATGCTAACAATAACGGGCTTTACTATGGGATTAGTTTTGTTTCATAAAGATAAAGAAACACTTTCTCAGAATCAAGCAAAACTAAGAGTGTAAGAGAAAAAAAAACTCAGTCAAGCAAAATAAATTGAATTTCAAAAATAAAATTATAAGTTGCAAACAAATCATTTGTGTAATCATGTAAACTATAAGTCTTTTTTCTTTGTTTTAACATATATTTTTGTTTGCAGTTCTCTTCAGAGTCCTTTAGCTAGCTCACCTGAGTCTCTCAGTCTGAGAGGAGAGGACTCTCCTCCAGCTTGTTCTGTCTGTCTGTCTGTCTCTCTCTCTCACTAAATGCGCTATAGCCACACACACACACACACACACACACACACACACACACACACACACACACACAGAGCCGAGCTTGAAAGACACAAGCACACGTGTATTTCCATGCAACTCTCTGATTGGTCTGGTGTGTTGCCTCTGTTGCGTTCACTGAACATGGGAAATTACAGTCCTGCCGTCGTCTCTTGTATCATGATGAGGTTCACGTAAAGCACGGTTAATGTATTATATTATTGAGTTNCTCCTCGACTCCTCGGTCCTCCGGTAGTGACCCGGAAATGAATTTCAGCGCGCCATTTTGAAGGACATCTCATTTCTCTAAATGCACACCGAGGATCGAGCGTCGAGGAGGCTCTCTGAAGGAGCTATAACCGAGGATACACTGATGGTTCCTCCACGGCTCCTTCGCGGATGCATTTCCGAGCACGGTGGAGGCGTGCCGCATGGCCGGACTTATCTCAGCCAATGACAGCTCTGCATGCATTCCCTGGATATTATTTTAGAAACTGCTTTCATCGCGTCGCGATGTTTCCAGAGAGAACAGCTGTGAGGTCCGTGCAGAAAGCAGAGCAGTGTGTGGCAGAATATATATCGCGCATCAGTGAGAGAGCGCGCAGGATACTCTGCTGGTATGTTGGCCTTTGAGTTTCTCGCTCGCTATTCTTCACACACACATACGGGGTATTTGGCCGAGGCGACGAGCGCGTACTTCCGACGCGTATCCGCGCATGTTTACCGCCGAGGCAAGGCAGCCGGAGGTTTAGCCGTGGTTAAGTTACTTCGTCTTAGCTACAATACTGTGGAGTAGCGCAGAATTAGCTATCAGAGGGCCAATGGAGAGGTTAGGTTTACGTCCCGAGAACCAGACAAGGTGCAGGCGGAATACCGTGTATGAGTCACAGACGGGAATGGCAGCGTTACAGCCAGGAGAGAGAGCCACGAGCCGTAACTGGGTACCCCCTAGGTTAAGAAAAAGCAGTACTACAGTGGATGGATGAGCAATAAGGGNTTGTAACTGAGCATTGTAACGGGTAATATATTACCCACATTTCATTAGTAATGCGTTACATTACTTCGTTACAGCAAAAAGTAATATATTACTGTAACTCCGTTACTTTTGTAACGCGTTACACCCAACACTGGTCCCAATGCACTCTCAATTCTGCCCATGTTCTACTCCTGTCACATCAATATTGCAACAAAAAAACTGACTACAAAGGGAAAACATTTCTGAATACTCGTTTTAAAGGTCACCTATTATGCAAAATCCACTTGTTCATGTCTCTTCTACATCAACATGTGTCCCGTCTGTGGAAAGAGATTCTGAAAGTTTCAGGAAAAAAGATTCGCTCACTTTTTGTCCTGATTATATAAAAACCTGTTTGAAAATGAGCCGATCAGATTTTGGCCACTTTATGATGTCATAACGATTTGTTGGCTTGTGTAACCATTAGCCAATCAGCAACCAAGGTAACCCC